CAAAAGAATTTAAAACGACAAAATGCAACAAAAGACAGACATAAAGAATAATATATAAAAAATACTAAAATACAAAAAAAAAAAATAAAATAAATAAAAAACCAAAACAAAACAAAGAACGAACAACAACAATTGCAAAGGACGCGCTAGGCCCAGCAGCGGGCTGACCATTTTCATAGAGCAACCACTTGCCCATTGCCCATTGCCCACTTACCCATTTGCCCATTGTCCATTTGCCCATTGTCCATTTGCCCATTGTCCATTGTCCATAACCATAGTCCATTTAATAACCATTGTCCATTTGCCATTCCATTCAGATTCAGATTCAGACTCAGGCAGCCACGCCCATACTCCCCTCTCTCTCTCTCTCTCTCTATCTGTCTCTTTCTCTGTCTTTATGTTTATATAAGTGCACACATATACATGCATATGTGTATACATCTTGTCTCTTATGTAATGCCATCAACATGCACATACATACGTACAGTTATATATGTATGTGTGTATGTCTATCTWACAACAACAACAACAACTGAAACAAATAGACAACAAAGTCATTTGTCTAGATTTTCGTTCTTCTCTTAATAGTTTTGATTTGCTCATTATTATTGTAATTGGCTGTAATTTGATTGACAATGCTTAGCGGACCATGAACTGTGCATAAATATTAATTATATTAGTTTCTTGTTTTATTTTGAGTTTTTATTTTGAACAAATGAACAGATTAAATGCCAAATTTGTATTTGTGTAGCTTAAAATTTAGTCAATGTGTTGATTTCTTCAGTTTCTCCGTCTGTGTATGTATTGTTGTCTATGTATGTGTGTATGCGAGCGTGTGCGTGCGTATCTATGCTTATGTTATGTTAGGCTTACCTGGATTTATATCGATGTTATATACACACACACACACACAAGCCTATGCGTAGATTGCGTATACGCATAGTTGGGCACAGATAATTTAGACCCGAAACCGTATTGAAATTTCAAAATGTTTTAAACCAAAACTACTTTATATTATTTCTCAAAAACAAAAATCCACAACAAAAATAAACAACAACAACAACCAAAATGCCAAAATCAAAACTACGATGATCTCATAAATGAACCTGAAGATCGACTACAGCAACAGCAGCGGCGGCTATGAGACGACCCTCAGCCTGGTCAACGATACGAATGAGGCAACAGCGACAGCGATGCGCGATGCTGAGCAAGCAGCAAGCTTAAAGGCAGCAACTGCAACAGCGACAACAGCAACAACAGCAACGATAGCAACTAGAGAGACGCTGCCTGGCGAGGAAGCTGACGGCCCAGCTGCAAGTTCAAGGCATCGACTGGCCATCCAGCCCAGATCAGCACCAAAGCGGAGCCAGCGCCAGAGTCAGAGTCAGAGTCAGACTGAGACTGAGACACTGTTGCCACAGAATCTAGTGATGCTGCAGACAGCAGCCGTAGCCGCCAGGACAACGACTGACGATAGTTGAGAGTGCAGCGATATGTGGATCGCCAGTGTTGCCAAGAGCCACAAGAACAACTGCAGCAGCACCTGTATAAATGCTAAGAAACAATGATCAAGCCACAAAGATAATGCTAACCATGTGATAACTCGTATGTATGTGTGTATATAGGCCATATACTTATGTATAACCATTATAAACTAATGAACCACAATGAAAGCAACGTGACGTGAAACGTGAGACGTGAAACGACAACAAACTATTCGAAAACAGGGCAACTAACAGTACGGTGGCCTTAGCTTGTGCAACTGAATCAAACTAGTAAATCAAAAATCGAAAGACGATATCGATAACAATAATCAAATAAGCCATCAAACTTTCAATAACTTAATCAAACGAAAACAAAAAGCTTAATCGTGTCATCAACAATAAACAGAAACATATAGCTATACATATATCGACAGCAGCCAGCAGCAGCTACACAAAAGTCATCAGCAAGCAGTGCAACAGCGATAGCGGTAACAGTAACAGTAACAGTAACACTCACGTTAACAGTTACAGCATCACATTGACATTAACTGTAGCTGTCGACTGCCCAAACGAAACGCTCAGGCTACGACTGATCTGATTTGCGTGCGTGCGTCGTGCGTGTGTGTGCGTGCCACGCCCACCACCGGCCACCGCGTGCACTCAGAGGGTTGGTTGGTGCCCGCGGTGCCATCCCCCCAAACGCAAAGTGATAGAAAATGGTAATTACAAACAAAACAATTCTATTCATTAACTATCCAAAAGAAAATACCAAAACCAAGAACCAAAAACCAAGAAAAAAAAAAAAAGAAAAGAAACTCTAAAGAAAGTCCTCAAACTCTACTCTATACTACCCAGCTACCCAAAGTTCATCACTGTCTCTGTTTCCTTCTCTGTCTCTATATATATATATCAATTTCTATCTCCCCTCTTTTACTATCCGTTAATCACACTCTCTTCAAATGCGTTTCCTTTCATAATTCAAATTGCATATATTGTAGTTCAGATAATTATTAGATGCAATTTTTTTCCAAAGTTTTTTTTTTATTTTTTTTTTTATTTTATGCTTTAGCTGTCGATTAGCCGCGCAACAGCGCCATCTAGCGGCTAATATTTGTGTTCCATTTATGCATTTGGTTCATTTTTTATTTCATTTGGCTTTGTCGCTTCTCTCTTTCTATCTCTCTCTCTCTCATTTAGTTTCTTGCGTTTTGAGTCGGAAAACATGAGCGCGATCAACCCAAACGAGAAATAAAAAAAAACTTAAAACAAAAACACAAGAACCAGAAAATATAACGAATCCAATTTAGGGGATGCAAATTGATTGCAATTGAAGCGTAATCGATAATCGATATTTTATCAAAAGCAACGTTTTACGTGAGAATTCAACGGTAACTGATTGCTCGCCTGCCATAATATATATATATAAAAAAAAAAAAACATATGCTGCTGTCTACAAAAAATATAATAAATAAACAAAAACAAATTGAAAAAAAAAATACAACAGAAAATAACAATAATAAATAATATAATTAAATCTTATAAATAATTATACAAAATATATGAAACTAATCAAATTTAATACAAACTAATTATAAGTAATGAGAGCAAGCCACACCAAATGTTTCTCTCTCCAGATATATCTACCTCTCTATCTCTCTGTCTCTCTCTCTCTCTCTCTCTCTAAGTACCTGTATTGATGTATATGTAACGCCATATACACACCCATACCCTCACACACACACACAGCCACACAGCCATGTAAAAGTATAGTAAAGTGTTGCGAATGCTTTGTCATGAATGATAATAATAACTGAACAATCTGATCATAAATTGAGAATATATACATATATATTATACGACCGATGGCCCCAAGCCATCTCAGCGGAATTTCTTTTCATTTAATTTCTGTTACACATATATATATATCAAAATATATCTACTATAATTTTCCACATATATCAATAACGATGACTATTTATGCGTATCAACTAAGTGAAAAAGTACAGTTTACAATTTACCTTATAACAATATTGAAGAAAAAAGAGAAACCAAACTATATGCTGTGATAAGTAGTTCCTGCAAGTCCAAGCATCGATTCATCAACAGCATTCTAGCCCCTAAATAGCTCTATTGCCGCGTATATGTTGTTCTGTTTAAATAATTTGGAAAACAAAATACCAAAAAGAAAAAATACCAAAAAGAATACCAAATCGAACTCTGACAAAACACATAAAAGCAACTTGAAATTTAGCAAACTTAAGCGGGAACATTGCCCCCTCTCTCTCTCTATCTCTCTCTCTTTCTCTCTGTCTGCCAGTCGCTCTATCTCTATCTATCTATCTACCTATCGCTCTCGCTCTCTACCTATTTAATTACTTGCAAATGTTTTTATTTATTTTTTTATTTCAATATTCTAAATTATGTTTTAAGATTTTGATTCGTAGGGGCTTCAAATTAAAACATAAGGCTTCACACTGATCCACCCTTCCCTCGCCAAAGCTCCACATAACCCCACTAGCACACAACCAGCAGTTCGTTGAGAGGACGTCGAAAAGAAGCATTACCTGAATAAGTTCAGAGATCGTAGAGCTCTCTGCAATTTGAACCGAGTTTTGAGTTTCGCATTTTTATGTTCTTCTTTTGAATTGATTTCGTTGACCTGACGTAGTTAAGAGCAAATTGCACGAGTCTAAACTGCATTCATATTCGAGTGAAAGAATTGAAGCCTGTTGTACCTATTCTTATATACAAACTATATATGTCCCTATATATATATATACTCGTATATTCGATACTGTTTTAATTTTTTCTTTATTTTATTTTTTATCGGCGCTTAAAGTAGCCCAGAAATATATCACATGGCAGATAATAAATTAACCATATCCGTATTCGTATTCGCATTCATATTCGATATCGTAATCCGTAATCCGTAATCGTAATCGTAACCGTAACCGTAACCGTATCCGTAACGCATACAATAACCAGTCAAAACACACGGCACATGTATGTATGGTATATGTAACTCTACACGTACGTATCTTTATCTTTATCTCAAGTATCTGAATCTAACCTAAAAACTAAGCAAGCTAATGCGAAAATATATATGTACWTACATACATACATACATGCATACTTAACTTAAGCGTACTTTATTCGATTGCCATATTGCATATAAGAATTCCTTCCAGATCGTGGTATGTATAATCTAATGATATTTGTAGCTACACGCACACACACACATACATATGTTTATGTATATGTATATGTATGTGCCTGTGTAAGTTATGTATGTATGTTTGTAATATGTAATATGTACATGTATATATGAATGTGTATGTGTATGTGCTAATGTATGTGTATGTGTATTCGTATGCGTTGCTAACTAACATGAGCATTATAACATTAACATAATCATTAACATTAACATTAACATTAAACCTTAAACAATCAACATTAACTCGTATATACTCGTACATATATATACAACTATACTAAACACTAATTAACCGCATCTTATTAGCTAATCGTATCGTAAACTGTAACCAAATATTGTGCCTTGTTATTATCTACATATAACGAAATTTATTTTGAGTTCGAATCGGTTCAATTTGTGATTTGCGAATTGTGATTTGATGCTGTTCGTTTTATTTATTCTCGATGTCTTTGTTTCATTTGGATTTCCAATGCTCCGATGCGCAACCATTGGCCCTAGAAACCCGTGTTCTATGGCCGAGGGCGATGCGATAACCTATCGACCACCTATCGATAGATGTGCGCGCGCGAGCGATTGCTGCCATCATGCCATCACTATCATATGCATATATCGTATTTATATATCGTATCTTGTACTTGTACTTGTTACTCCAACATATGCATACATACATATCTATACATATATACACATATATGCATACGTATGTTATATATCTAATCCAATATGTTCTTTGCATATATACATACATATATATA